TGTGGCTTCAACCTTTGTCCTTTTGCGTCCAAATGGAAGCATTGCATTCGATCGATTTTTCGACTCGCTAATTTTACTTGGAAACGATGCAGAATGGTCTGAAACGGATGAATTAAATTGCGAGAATACTGCGTTCGATTTTGAACTTTCTGGAGTCGTAAATTCCAGAAATCTGACCTACACAGAACAGTATTTTCAATTTTTGCTACACGCCGAAATAATCTTTGTGTAGCTGTTTTTAATGAAAGGGGGGAATTTGATGAGAGGAATGTTAAGGGTGAGGAGACTTGGATAATTGGAGACTTGGAATGATTACTCACGTTTTAACAAAGTCGATATTTATTTTTAACAATATTTGGTAGAGAGGTATAATGCACGAGGGTACCTCCGATGAGGTGTTTCTTCCTAGGGATGAAGTTCGTAACTGATTACAAAATATTAAAATTTGGACAAGTTGGATTTTCAAAGTAGAAGGGATGGAAAAGTGGAGGAGGAAAATGGTTTTTCTAAATTTTCAAATGATTGGTCAAAATGACCTGTGATGGGAGGGACAATATTCTGATTGGAGAGGTATCATGGAAAATTCGGAAGTGCAGGAAGTAGGGAGAGAGGGAGAAATTGGCGCGCCTTGGGCCTATTCCCCAATAAAGGGCGTCTGGGCGAAAATATTGAGGGACCGTTGAGGGTCGAGCGCAATAAACGGAAAGAAACTATAAAGTAATTTGGAAATACAAATTTTTGAGTTGAATGAAGGGATTAGGACAAATTTTGGCAGTGATTAAATTTCTGAGAAATGATCTTTACACNTCTGAGAAATGACCTTTACAAACTTGAGGAAATATGAGGATTATTTCAATAAAATAATTCTGAAGGGTCTAAAAGAGATATTTGAGAAATATTTTCGGGTGATTTTATGAGTTTACAATTTTTCTAGAGCACAAAGCTGAGTATAATTAAAATTCTAAGAATTATTTGGGAAAAATACTAAAATAAAAATGGGAAATTTTCAAGGATTGAATTAAATATTTTAAAATAGAAAGATTGTTAATTTCGCGTACTTGATACGCAACAACGGAAAAATACGATGTTTGAGGACCATGTCTGTATGTGACCATGTCCAGTCGGTGGTCACTTTTTCTTAAAATTAACGAATAAACGGCCAAAATCATTCCAAATAATTTGAAATTTTGTCAGTTTATTGGTATAATTTAGGACTAATACTACGCCAAAGTTCAGCTGAATCCGTCCATTCATTTTGAGAAATAGCGATTTGTTTTTTTACGCTTTTTCTCAAATATCTCGGAAAATATCCAACCGATTTCAATATTTTTTTTTAAATGTTCGTCTTGATGTCTTCTATCTTAATCAATCAAAATAGATATGGGGTATTCCATGTGAACTCACCCAGATCAAGACCCTCACTACCGCCAATCATATTGCCGATTTTTCCTGTGCTCGTATATGGAAAAATATGACTTCTCAAATTTTTTCAGATTTTTTGAGGCATCCTGTGGACAGCCATGTTTTTTTTACAAGTTTTATCTTCAAATGTCTGTAACTTCCGTAAAAATCAACCAATTTGAGTTTTTTTAAAACAAAATGTGCGTCTTCAAACACACTTTCCATATAAAAATATGCTAATTTTTTTCAATTCATTCTTCCATCGATTTCCTCAGAAAAACCTCAAAAAACTTCAAACAACGAGTCGTTTTCAAAGTTGGACCCTTTTTATATTTCTCAAAAAATTTCAGTGAATCTATTGGACCAAAACAAAATTTTTCACCAAAGGCCAAAGTGGGCTTCTCATTTCGTGGCCGTCATTTCCAATTTGAATATATGAATCCGGGATGAAAAATTTCAAAATTCTTTTCGCATTTGAACGCAGAAGCATTATTGGAATTTACCGCCTGAAGAATCACTGCATTATATTCGAATCTGGAACAATTTGATGATTTTTTGAAAATTCGTTAACAATAAAACTTTCCGAGTGGTGTGTTCTAATAGAGATCCCACTTTGGCCTTTGGTGAAAAATTTTATTTTGGTCCAATATATTCACTGCAATTTTTTGAAAAATATAAAAAGGATCCAGCTTTGAAAACGATTCGTTTTTTGAAGTTTTTTGAGGTTTTTCTGAGGAAATCGATGGAAGAATGAATTGAAAAAAATTGGCATATTTTTATATGGAAAGTGTGTTCGAAGACGCACATTTTGTTAAAAAAAAACTCAAATCGGTTGATTTTTACGGAAGTAACAGGCATTTGAAGATAAAACTTGCAAAAAAACATGGCTGCCCACAGGATGCCTCAAAAAATCTGGAAAAACTTGAGAAGTCTTATTTTTCCATATACAACCACAGGAAAAATCGTCAATATGATTGGCGATGGTGAGGGTTTTGACCTGGGTGAGTTCACATGGAATACCCAAGTATATGCATGCGAGTATATGCTTTGTATATACTCGTTCATACAAAGTTTTCGAGATATATCGATTTTTCTATTTTTACCTCGAAATCGTTGTTCGGTCTCTAGCAGACGCAAAAATCGGAATATCAACTTGCAATTTGGCACGAAAGTGCCTCTAGTAATAACAACGGTTCGTATTGAATCTGGGCTTAATCGGATAAAAAGTTTCAGAGATATTCAACTTTGTATGTAAACCTAATTTCTCCAATATCTCAATAACGAGGTAACTTATCGCAACATTTTTTTCTGAAATGTTCGTCTTTTTTGTCCTCTATCTTAATCAATCAAAACGTATACAGGTCGTTCCAGAACCTAACGTCCAAACTTCACCCTGAAATTGGGGGTCAAATTCTGGATCGAAAAGTCCCGAGGAACTTTTCGATCGGAAGCACCCGTTTCGACTTATTTAAAGTTGAAGTTGGACGCATCAGGAGCGCGGGATAAACGGACGCCTGACGGTGAGTGGAATGTAAGAGTGTTGGTGGTGTCCCCACCAGACCGCTCTACTTCCCTGAGGCAGACGAAATAAAAGACTGCGATCTTTGTTCTGTTTCATCAAGAACGAGAGAAATTGAGGTTTCCACCCCGCAAACAACCCACCCTTATGGGAATGAGATATATGCAGCACTTATATCTTGCATATATTTGGCATACCACATTTTTGGCCGAAAATATATCTGAGATATATTGCAGATATATGTTAAATATTTTACATCGAGATATATGTGCATATTTATATCTAGGATATATCTGGCATATGACATTTTTGGCCGAAATATAAGTGAAATATACTGAGATATATGTCAGAATATATGTTCTTTCCATGGGGGCATGCCTCAATCTGGGCGGGAATTGATAATCCCCCCCCCCCCTTATGCCTCCAGAACAAAGATCGCAGTCTTTTATTTCGTCTGCCTCGGTGGAGTAGAGCGCTATGGTGGGGACACCACCAACACTCTTACATTTCACTCACCGTCAGGCGTCCCTTAATCCCGCGCTCCTAATTCGTCCAACTTCAACTTTAAATAAGTCGAAAAGGGTCCTTTCGATGGAAAAGTTCTTCAGGACTTTTCGATCCAGAATTTGACCTCCAACTTCACGGTGAAGTTGGGACGTTGGGTTCTGGGGCACCCTGTATACCTATTCATAGAAAGTTTTCGAGATATTTGGAATTTTCTATTTTTGAATAAAAGTCGTATGGTTTCTAGCTGACGTAAAAATCGAAATGTCAACTTGTTTTGGTCGGAATTCACTTTTGCGCTCTATGACATGGGTAAAAGTCAGGGAAACCTTTCGAAACTTTGGCTTCCAGTTGTGATTATCAGGCAACTGTCCTATATCCAATTTGAGGTCAATATATTTGATAGTTCTTGAGAGGGAATAATTCACTTTAAATTTTTGAGAAAAAAAATTACGCATCTATATTTCATCGTTCATTTCCACATCAAGTTAACTGAAAAAGCCATGTAATTTGAATGTATGGTTTTTTCATATTTATTTTATAGAAACAGGAAAAAATGAGACAAAGCTTATAAGCATCTATAGATGACCGCCGCCGCACCCTACCCATGTGACCACTACTCTGTCTCATCTTTATTTATTCTAATAATTTCTTCATTTTTACTAGATGATTCAAAAATGGTGCTAATGAAAACGATGATTTTTCCCTAAATAGATAATAATAGCTAACAATATTTTGCATGAAGTATGAATGGGATTGGCCTTAATATGTTTAAAAAAGGGTAATCCTTATGCCCTCATTTTTTGAAAACATACATTAGAATCCATTCGGAAGCCTACTACCAATGAAATTGGTAGAAATCAAAATAGGAGAAAAAAATACGTGGAGAGTCCCAGTCCTACGTAATTTGTCAAATGGCTTCTGTTGCGCTGCTTGTTTTTTTTGTGTAATTTATAAAAAATTTCCAAAAAATCGTCACACATTTTCTAAAAACATCATATCTTCACGTTTCATGACATTTTACATCATTTCCAGGCAAAATTAGAAGATCGCAAAAATCATCGATCACAAGGCTTCTATTCGGAAGCAAAAATAAAAAATTAAACAATACAGTTGACTAATTTGACATATAATGAAACAATTTTAATCTGACATGATTATGCCGAACTCTGTTCGCGAGATGAAAAAATTACTCACAATGACTCAGAAAACTTTGCTTCGATGAATCGCGAATAAAAGGTTCTTTGTATTGAATGAATGTAAAAGTCGTGCAAACGAAAATTTTCAGATATTCTTGAAATGACCTTCGGTTGCTCTCACAAGCAATGTGTTCGAAGAAAAGAAATGACTCCACCGCTTTATTTCAAATTCTTATCACAATTCTTTCGAAAAACCAAAAAATAGTTTGTCATTTAGTATCTAATTAGTTTATGCCGAAGTGCAACGATTTCTTGTCTGAAACCAATGGTAGATATTTTCTTTCAATGTCAGTGTGCTCCTTATATCCCAACATGAGGATAGTTTTCTAAATGAAATTTTCAATTTATGAACAACTTATTAGCGGCAATTTACTCACCCTCCTCATCGCTCCCAACCATAGCATAACGTTCATATCCAGTCAAATTCCTGACAGCCCCGAGGCCAAAGTCATCCTTCGTCCATTGGATGGGGCCCTTTTGATCGAGTACACGACACGGTAGCGTGACCCGGCTGCCGATAACGGCGGTCTGATCCTGGGGTTCAATTGCAAATCTCTGATAAACTATCTCGGTAGTTGCTGCCGGCCTCAGCGTAGAACCGAGTGACGTGTTTGTCGTTGACATCGCTGTTGCTGTTGTACATCTACTCAATGTCAGCCAACACCAGAGAAAACATGTTCCAACGATAGACGTTGTCCAGTATTGTCTCCTACATTGATATCTGAAGGCATAAAAAATATTCCAGTTTAATTGAATGGAATTAAAGCGGGTAACTGTTCTGTATCAAGTTAATAGATTTTTTGTATAACATATGCTAGTATGACATGGTAAAATGTTCAAAGATATGAGTAGAAACAGCAGAAAAAAGGGATGATAAAAATTTTGAAAAGAGAGGGAGAGAGGAATAGGAATAAAAACAAAAGTTGAGCTTTACGAGCAATTATGTTCGTTTCATTTTTCCCTCTGGCGAGCGGTTCTATATGTCAAGAGTGTCCAGTGGAAATGGGAAGAACGAAAAAGAGTAGAAAAAAAAGAACGGGGAAATACGAACAAAATAAGTACAGAAATACTTTTATTCACAATTCGTTATGCTCCATTGTCGAGATTTATGGACAGATATATGGCTTCCATGTTTCTATTATAACTTTCGGCATTGTATGTCTTTCATCCGTTCTCCGTACTTTCGAAATATTCGCCGTTTATAAGCAGTCTTGAGAGGCGGATGTGAGATTGCTATGTAGAGCATTTGCTACTCTCAGAATACTTCTTATAAGCTCAATGGGATAATCACTGCCTTCAACCATTTTAAATGCTTATTCTGTTACATCATGTTTAGGTTATAAGATGGATGAATGTTGCTTATGGGATGCATATTTTCGGGATCTCATTTAAATTTCACTCCAGATTTTTGACTATATACCGATCACTGTTTGTTTACAGAGACTACTGAAAAAAATCAAATAATAAGCGAAATATCTCCATTTGACAATAAATTAGTATTGTTTGTCGCCTTTAGAATTTTTCATTAAATGTTAAATCTCCTCATGTACACTGGGGTTACGCATAACAAAACCAGATTTTCTCTCAATTATCATATCTATAAATGCATTCCGCGGTATTTACCCGATGCAATCATTTTCTTCGAAATTTTCTGAGTACTATTGGCCCAACAGAATCCTCAGGTGTAGATGTGAGCAAGGATTGTCATGTCAATTGTTGGTGTTTTTTTGCGCTCTTACATTCCATTGAAAAATCAACATTTTTCATTCGTCAATCTAAAGTGCAGAGTTTGTACGTGAAAACATGATTCGTTTTTAAATAATTAGCTCAGCGAAAAAGAAACTACAAAGCTTTCGGCAGGCATAATTTTATCATGTTTTTTCCATTTCTCTGATTGTTTCAATAAAATGTTGTGAATGTACAAAGCAAAAAAAGTCTTAGAAAAAGTACCATACAAAAATGAAATACAATTAAAATTATTGTTTTCTGTGTGAATTTTCAGGAAGTATTAGAAAAAATTCGGATTTCTTTGCACGCAAAAATTATGAGCTAAAACATAATTCTCATCCATTTCGCGCGTCTCTCATCTATGTTTTCATGGGGTAAGGTTAATAGGTAAATAAAATACCCAACGGATTAACGTAAAAATTCAGTGAGAATAACAAGGATTATTCCCCCATGTGAGTGTCAATCAATAAAAATGCAGTATTTCATATGTTGTGGTGGATTGGGGGTTAAATTATTTCGATTATTTCTTCCATTTTAATTTCAACCAATCAGAGCGTAGTATTTAGAATCACGTAACGCATACTATAGTGGTAGATGCCTGTAGCCTGTCCATTGTTTTCTACGAATTTGAAGGATATATCCGATATTTTGGTGAACCATGTTACGTAACCTCGAATACTGCGCATTGATCGGCTGAAATCAGAATGAAGTAAATAATCATATGTAATACCAAGAGAGCTTTACAATTATCGGGTATTTCCCAATAGGTTCATTGCAAACAAACGAAGGAGTCAAGTTTTTCAGGAAAAACGTAAAGACTTCGTTTGGGTGCAGGGAACGTTGAGGGAAATACCTGATTAATTTTGAAGCTCGAATGATATTCGGGAGAGAATATTTCCATCCAAATTTCGGCCAAGAGAATTGCACCATGAGACGAAATCAATCTGTCAGTTTCGGTGAACGGTTCATTGAATTAAATGATCTTTTTTTTATAGCAACTACCAGAGAAAAGTATTAAAAAATTATCAGTTGAAAACCCTGTAGGTTGTACCACGTGACGTCGAATCCCGGGGACCAAAAGTCAAACGGGCCAAGAATGGGCCAGTACTGGCAGCCGAGCTTCCGAGTCTTGGGTGACGATCCTCAATCGGCCGTGGCCCAGCCTCGGCTAGCTATTGGTTTGATAACGTTGGGCCGGTATTGGTTGCCAAGCGTCGGCCGATGGTCGGCACTCGTGACCCAGCCAATATTCATTTTTAATAGATGAAAAAATTAATTAATACCGTATTTTTTTATGATTTCATTTACATTCTTCGCCTAATCTTAACAACCCTGAAGAAACCGATAATCACTGGTAATGATGAGTGAAAAGTTGGACTCCTCGGGATTCAATCGTGGAACCTTCGGGTTGCTAGTCCTTGACTTTACCCACTCGGCCACCGTAGAGTTTTTAGTTACGGAGAAGTTTATCGGCTATATGAATAAAATATGGTATTCTTATCTGATTCTTTAATTTTCTTTAATTATGATACTTAATATAGATATGGTAAACAGCCTATTTATTCATGATCAATAAATAATAACATTACACAATTTAGGTCTTAAGTTTGACCCTTACATACCTTATGATCGTTTGACCCCTAGCATCTGTCTACACGTTTTCCTGCATAACCCATTCGACCCCTATGATTATTTGACCTTTCATGAAAGCCTTCAACCCTTGTAAGTAGATTTAATATCATGCCTATTTGACCCTTATGACCCTCGTGACGCTTGTGAGTGTCTGGCCCATTGGAATATTGCGCTCGGTTTCTTTGCTAAATAGTGACCCTAATGAGAGTTTGACCATTGGAATTGGTTAACTTTCCTGTTTGATCTTTGTCAAGTCTCGGCGTCCGAAGTTTACCCAATTATTATTGGCCGAGACTTGGCATTCGACGGATGGCCATTTGAGGTTCAGCTGACACTTGGCCGTGAAGGAGTCGCCGAGATTTGGCATGCCAGTCCAAAGCCAATGTTTAGCCGTGGTCGCCAAGGCTTGGCATGCCAATTCAAGGTTGAGGCTTGGCCGATTCAACAGCATCCACAGAGAAAAAAAAATCATGAAATTGATCAATTCATCATCGTTAAATTTAGCCTTCGAAGAATGATAAACTCAACCATCATATCGAATTATTTTTATAGAAAAAATTCTAGAAATGATCCGTATTATTCTTATTTTCATCCATTTTTTTCTTGAATTTGAAATTCTTCCTATAAATTCCATGTCTCTTTTTACTAGATTATAGAAACTTCGATTCTAAACTTGCATTTTTTTAAATATTTTTCTTTCTAAGAAGAATTTGCGTGAGTTGTGCCAAAAGGTCGTATAAACATTTTTTTCTAGTTTTCCTGAAAAGTTGTGCCAAAAGGTCATATAAACACTTTCCCAGGGGATATGAAATCTCCACGTTTCAGATGATTCTGAATCATCTGAACCTAACTTTTTGAGACAAATTTTTTCTCTGTCTAAAGTAAATTCGAAGATTGTCCAAATTTGGGCCAAAAGATTATATAATCACTTCCTGAGAGAGTACAAAATCTCCAAATTTCAGATGAGTCTGACTCATTTTTATGTAACTTTTTGAGACAATTTTTTTTGGTTTACTCAGAGGGAATTGAGAATTTGTTTACGAAACTAAAAGCGCGTTTTCCCGTTTTTTGGGGAATTAATAAATATTCATGCTTAGATGATTCTGAATTTTTTTGAGTTAATCTGGAATGAATGATTAACACACAATTGTATTGTGAGTGATTTCGCCAATAATTGGTCCGGTTTCGTGCCTTGAAAATTTTAACTTTGTAGAGACTTTTCCGATGGTTTTTTCTACTATCAAAAGAGCTTTGAAAAAACTCTCCCCATTATCGTTGGAAAAGTAAATTTCTTTATGCCACTCAGGCCTGAAACCGGCTGGATTACACACTCGACGCTTCGCGTCTCGTGTCTAATTCAGCCGGTTTCAGGCTTCGTGACATAAAATTTTGTTCAGTACTTGTTGGGAAATTTCGTCCTTAACGTGTGTGGTTCGCCTTCGGCTCATGCTGTAAACCCCACACACGTTAAAGACGAAATTGCCCCACACGTGCTGAAATATACTATTGATTTTCGACTTTTTGTCGTCTTTCTGTTGAAATTCTGGATTTCAGAAGAAATGAGAAGACATTTTTTGAGTCTTCAATATGTATCATTCGTGAAAATTTCCCGTTCTTTCGATTAAGCATGGTTTAAAGTTGTTCACAGCACCAGAAATGTCCTGAAATTGCGAAAAAAGTTGAAAATTCCGCGTTGTATCACGTTTCTCCGTTTGGATTGCTGATTTTTCATTTTTTTTTGTGGAATTGACTTTTTGTTTCGGAAAATATCCAAAACTCAAGGTGGGACTCCGCTCTGTTCTATCTAAACATTATTTCTGCCCTGTTTTTCCTTTTTTAAAATTTTTTTTCATTAATTAAAAATGTTTTTTGTTTTCCATCAAAAACTTTTTTTTTGCGAAGAAATTTAAAAAAGAAAATTTTATTGGAAAAGTATGTATACGATCACTGGGCTTGAATTTTAAAAAGTCTTCTAATTATTTTTAAGCAGACCAAAAACTATGTTCCGAAAAATTAGACTCAAATGACACAGACATATCTGAAACGTGGAAATTTATTATTCCCTGCAAAAGTGTTTATAAGACTTTTTTATCCGTATTTTTAAAAAATGGAAAAATTCCCCATAAAAAAATTCAAAAAATTGTCTGGAAAAATTGGGCTCAGATGACTCAGAATCATCAAAAACGTGGAGATTTCATATTCCCTGTGGAAGTGTTCATATGACTTTTTGGCCCAAATTTTCAGTGAAAAAAAATTACGCGTAAACAAATAAAAAAAATTGTCTCATAAAATTAGGCTCAGATGACTC